CTGTCCCTCAGCTCTTCAGCTCAAGGCTAGCACTCTACCACTGGAGCCACAGCGCCACTTCCGGCTATTTCTGCTTATGTGGTGCTGAGGAATAGAACCCAGGGCCTCATGCATGCAAGGCAAGCACTCTACCACTGAGCCACCTTCCCAGCCCCAAATACTAAATTCTTATGAGTTCGCTGGCCAGTTTATCAGTGGGCATGCTTCTATTATGTTGAACTGCATTGTAAGTTAGGTCCTAATGAATATTTAGTATTTGTTGTGTTCTGTGCATTTGATATTTCAGTTAATTCTCAGAGCAGCCAAGTTGCAAACAAGGAAGCTGAGCTGGGGAGGGCTTCACTGGGCTCAGTTAATGAGTGGCAGATGTGCGACGCCTGGCTTTTCAATGGCCTTGGACTTTGGTCCTGACATAGGTGTGTGAGGTTAATGATGTCTGGCTTGCAGATGGTGCGTTTCAGTTTCCAAACCCTGACTTTGATGAGGACAAGAAGGGTCTTTGCTCAAGATCCCTAGAATAGGTGAGGGCTCCATCCTTGAGGTCCTTGGCATTATTTCTTCTTTCCCCAAAGTTTCTGTCTGTCCACCTGCATCTCCCTGAGTGCCTGGAGGATGGCAGTACTCCAGGAGGGAGGGGCGTGTTCCTAGGTCCAGACAGGGATACCCTGAAGCTTTGGTGTGGCAGTGTTGGCCTGTACAAATGAGTTTACAGAGGCGGGGGGGGGGGGGGGAGCACTGGGGCAGGGAGCAAGTATGAAAGGCAGAAATGCTAGAGCTTTCAAGATATATGTTTCTTTCCTTTGCTGTGTCTGTGTCACCTAGCCTCCAAAACAGATTGAACTCTCTTCCTCCCTAGAAAAGTCCACATAGCAGTCATCCCTACTCCCAGCCATCAGAGTGATGCAAGGCTCCTGAACCTCCCAGCCTTTACTGTCCTTGCCTCACATGCACTGCCTGAGAATAAAGAAAATCCTCAGAGCATGTGTTGAATAAAGAGGTGGAGGAGACCCAACCCTGTGTACTCTCAGGCTAGTGTGGTGCACTAGCCTTTCCCTTGAAATAGAACCCTGTATGACTAGACCTCCAGGACCCAGTCCTTTTTAGCGTTAGTTGTTTTTCAGATAGCATCTTGTGTTTTTGCCTCTTGCTAGCCTCAGACTATTATCTTCCTATTTATGATCTCCTAGATAGTGGGTCTTGCTACTTTTTACCCCCAGTCTGGCCTAGTACCATGATCCTCCTGATCTTTTACTCCTCCAGTAGCTGAGATTGTAGGTATGAGACAGTCTTGCTACTAAACTGTTCTTGCTGGGCACTGTGGCACACAGGTATAATTCTAGTGCTTGGGAGGTTGAGACAGGAGAATCACAAGTTCAAGACTGGCACGAGCTACACAGTATTTGAAGCTGACCTGTACTACATGGAAAGACCTTATCTCACCAAAATAAATATCAACAATATCAAAAAACAAAAACAAAAAACCCAACCTACTCTCAAGACAACAAATTCACTACTTGGAAAGTTGTATCAATCCTTTCCAGGGGATAGAGCCCATAACATGACTACCCTCCACCAAGCCTAACCTCTAGAGTTTTTTACCACCTCAATACTGCCATCATGGGACCAGCTTCTAGCACAGGCACCACCATAGGCCCTGGGTTTTGCATCCTACATGCTCTGATGGTGTGGCCACTGTTAGCACCAGGTGTAAGCAGTCTAGTGTGAGATGAGCTGTGGACTGGAGTAGTGGTTGCTCTGAAGAAGGGATTTGGGTATAACCAACCACATCAGAAAATGCAATGGCACTGAAGCTACATAAGCAAAAGGTGGGAAAAATCTCTAGGAATATTGTTAAGGGATGAAAGCCAGGATACTAAAATAAAAATAAATCCTATGTTGCATGTAAGTAAAATAGAAAAATCTATGAATATGTACAAAGGTGAGGCTAATATTCCTACTTGTGTGTGTGTGTGTGTGTGTCTGTGTGTGTGTGTGTGTGTGTCTGTGTGTGGTTTGAGAGGATGGAACCCAGGGCCTCACTAATGCTATGTAAGTGCTATACCACTGAGCTATACCCCAACTTCTAATATGCCATTTTAACTTATACTTAAGAATGCAGACTTTGTATGTAACTATGGCCTAGCATATAATATCTTGCTATATGCATTCCATCATGGGCTTTTGGGGGTATTAATTTCAATATTTACAACATTCCATATCTCAATTTTTGTTGTGTCCTGAGTATCTCATTTCAGCCTGACCCCAACCCTAGGAGGGTCTGAAGAGAAAGGATAGGTTTGTAATCCCACTTTCCAAAGAGCTGCACTTCCCATAGAAAACAGATCATATGGGAAGGGGCTTGCGATGGCAAATAATACAGATGGCTGCAATGGCAGCATAGCCTCCCACATACTCCAGACCTACTTCAAAACCTTGTGTTTAGGCTGGGAAGGTGGCTCAGTGGTAGAGTGCTTGCCTTGCATGCATGAGGCCCTGGGTTCGAATCCCTAGCACCACATAAGCAAAAAGAAAAAAGCCGGAAGTGGTGCTGTGGCTCAAGTGGTAGAGTGTTAGCCTTGAGCTGAAAAGCTGAGGGACAGCGCCCAGGCCCAGAGTTCAGGCCCTATGACCGGACCCAAAAAAAAAACAAATCTTGTGTTTAGCTTCAGAAAATATGCATATATGGATGCCAACATACACATACACCTGCGTTTTCATGTGTGGCTACAAAGGAGTTGTCTCCTAGGGAAGCTTTTTAAAATTCTGCTCAGGCCATGTCTGGAGCAGTTAATTATATCTTTATCTTAATAAATGTATATACACATGTAAATATGCAATTTGTAGAAAATATGAAAAATCACAAGGAAACATAACAGGTCTTGGGGAAGAGCGATGTATGGAGTAAAAGAAGGATCTTTTCTTGTTTAAGTTGAATGCTATATTTCATTTAAACCTGGCAGCATAAACAACTTTTAAGCTACTTTTTTT